CTTCTCGCACAAACCGACCGCCAGATCGATTTCCCTTTCCGGTCATTATCCTGATTGCGAGGACAAAGAGAAATGGAACGACCACTTCATCATGGGACCGATGTCCAGGTACGCTGTCGATCTACCCATAGCCTTGAAGATCATCATCAAACCCGAATACAAAGAGATCTTGAACCTCGACAGAAAAGTAAGAAATTACATTAAAGTAAATATTACAAATCGAATTTATTAAACGAATTTCAGGTGGATTTAAACAAGCTGAGGTTCTTTTACCTCGACAATAACGCAAGCATCTTAGTCAATAACGTTGATAGGAGCATAGACAATTCGTTGAACAGCGTCATCGATTACTTTCGCGGTAAATACAGGATGGATGTTAACAAGGTGAGCTTATTAACAATTAACCCAATACATTAATTAATCGTTTACTTTCAGCTGAAATTCAAACAATCTCCTTACTTAACTATAGTCCCTTTATTGGCGATAGAAGGAACGGACGATCTTTACTACGATCAACCCAAGAGTAACATTTACTGGGAACTACTGAAATTCCTTTTCGGACAAAGCAAAGCCACTCTGACTGGCGTTTTCTATTTCGTGCTGCACAATCTGACGACGAAATTCGTGAGCAAACGGAAAGTGGAGAAGATACGTGTGAAGATGTTTGAGGCGAGGAAAGAGTTGGAGGACATCCTCGGCGATGACGGTGTCCTACTGTACCCCACGTATCCGACTCCGGCGCATTACCATTTCATGTGCATCTCGAAACTGCTGGACTGCAGTTATTGTACCGTCTTCAACGCTTTCGGTTTACCGGCCACCAACTGTCCGATTGGTTACAGCGAGCAAGGTTTGCCCGTCGGAATACAGGTAAAAAAAAACAACCAAGATAAATTAAAGTTTAGAAATCAAAAACATCTTTCGTTTGTAGGTAATCGCGAAGAGGAATTGTGATCGACTCTCTTTGGCCGTCGCGGAGGAGATCGAAAACATCTTTGGTGGATGGAAATTCTCGCCGCAATCTCAGTGACGCATTTTCAAATAGTTATTAGTGATATTTATGTAACTTAAGTCATATAATATTTTTTAACAAAAATCGACTAGTTTCTTTTCTCAAATTTTACTTATGCGTTTGTTAACGTTAATAATGTTTATTATTTGATCTTAAAAATTGAGATTTAAAGCCAAAATTTCGAGCCAAACTTTAATTCCAAATTATGATTTGAACAAAAAAAAATGTAAGAGAAATTTCAAGATTTGTTTTCGTTTGAAGATTTGCACCATTCTTGCTTTTGGGTTAACAAAAAATGACGGCAAAAGGCAGGGAAATGAAAGATTTTTAACAGATAAAAATAATCTATATTAGTTTAAAATTAATTGCGTTTCAGAAGACTCGGAGGAAATGGACTTGGGGAACGAATCTTGTATGAAAACATTGATACTTGTATAACTTAAGTAAAAGTTATTAATAATATATATAAAAGAATATATTTACAAAGTAAAAAATAAATGATACGGTCATCATAAATGTAATGAAATCATTATAATCAACGTAAATACTAACTTTCAATACGTAAATCTAAATTTACATAAATATTACTTAAAAAATATACACAGCACGTCCGGTCGACGATCATCAAGCAACCGGAGGCACCGTATTCTGTTTAGTTGCCTTTTTCGCCTTGCGCTCAGCCTTCTTCTCCGTCACGCTCTTCTTCAGACCCTTCATCTTCCTGGTCTGCAGCTTGTTCACCTCCTGTTTACCCAGATGGACGCGTCCGTGCGTCGTTCCCAGACCATCAGTAGAGATGTTCTTCTTCTTGACAACCTTCAGCTCCTTCGGCTTCCTGCACGACTGCTTCATCAAGTCCTCCGTCGGCAATTTGCTGCGTCTCAATGTGAAATCTATCCTTGGTCCTACAAATAAAAAACAAAAATAAATAAATTACACGAAAACAAATTCACGAAAAGCACGCACCGATTTCCTCCATTTCAATCCTTGGCGTTTTGCAGCCGGACTTCTTAAACAAGACTTTGTAGGAACGCAACAAAATCCGTCCATCTTTGGTCACCGTGAAACTAATAGCATGCTCCAATCCAGCCAACCTGATAGCCTCGCATTTCTCCCCTTTGAAGAAATCCACGAAAATCGACTTCAACTGCTTGAGCTCATCGCTTTGATCCCACGATGGTCCATTGAACACCAACATGGGTTTCGTTCCCATGACCATCTTCTGTCCTTTGAACTCGCTCATCGGCTCAATGTAATCGACAGCCAACTCAATCATATCCAACAAAGAATAATTGAACATGCGACCGACCACAAGATTGTCTGGCCTCTTCTTGTTGTGTGATCCGAACATGAAGATTGGCGTCTGATATTTCTTGCAGAACTGCTCCACAGGAGCGACGTTCTCAAATATGGTTATGTCATTTTTCTGTGATAATTTCACAGCCTCCGGTTTCTTCAAATGATAAATATCCTTCATAACATTCCTTACTTTCTCCGAACACTTTCTGCCTTGCAAAAACAGGGGTCTCTTCACACCTTCGATGAGTTGCGGTTCGCGCGTCACCAGCACTTTCTTGCCTTTCCTCGTCTTGGCTTTCCTAAAATAAAATTAGATAAAATTAATTATTGCAACACGGATTTAAGAGTGAATAAATGAAATATTGGATATTTACACTACACGCTGCATTACAGCCATGACTTCTTCAAGTTTTCTTCGGTAAAATCACAAATTTTAAGAATTATTTATTAATGCCGCACGTGGTGTACACACACAAAACTGACAGAAACAGAAGGACGCAGAAATACCGTCGTTCAAAAATGACATTCTGCATTACCAACAACTTAAAATGAAAAAATTTAAAATGTTACTAAAACATCATAATTTCTTACTAATTACTTGTAGATCTTACATTAATTAATTTAAAATTACATCTTAATAGAAAACAAAATAATGGTAGATTCAAAAGATGATTGATGATAATTATAACTTATAAAATTAACTAGAAACAATAGAATATTTCAATTTATAATTGTAGCTGCACCAAAATCAAGATGAAAATTAGAGCTTTAATGTTAAGCTTTTATTAAGATCTCCAAAAATAGTTATCTTCAACTATTTTTAATGCTTTTTAATTAATTTGTTATTGTTCTTGTGAGCTCCATCTTGCGTTTTTTACCAATAACTATTTGAATTCAAAATTTGAACTTTTCCAACCAAAATGCAATATTTACAAAAAATATCATGATTGGAAGTGAAAGAAAGAAAGCGGAATTAAGAAAAATAATTTCATTTATTTTCCACTTCGTTTGTATAATATATAATACAGTCGTATGCTGGCTACAAGTGCGCTTACGTAACGTTATTGCTATACATTGCTTCAGTGATAGTTTTGTATAATACACAAGTATGCGGGGGAAAACAAAGGAATAGAAAAAAAAAAGTAAAAACTGTAACAAAACAAAACGAAATACAGAGTACTTAATTACGACTAAAAGTAAAACATATTATGCAATAAACTAATTATTTTATACGTTAAAGTGAACAAGTTTATTATTGTTTTGGTTCAAACGTGAGACAGTCAACTATAAACATTTGTTTTTAATATAATATTTATATATATATAAATTGTTTTTTTTTGTTTTTCCACAGCCCCACACAAGGATCAGATTGGTCACGAACGATTCAATTGTTGATGAAAACAAAGCCAACTTAGGTCGAAAAGAACATCGCAAATCGTCAGAAGAAATAAATGATTAACGAAACTAGTACAAATTGAAATGTCGTGAACGCAAACATTGGTGCAGAAAATAACTTAAAACTGAAATTGACCACAAATAAAATTCGAAAAAAGTAAACCTAAACTTTACACGTAACTGCGAACAATTCGCAGCTCGATTGTAACAGAAACCAAATTCATATAGACGTGTGCTATTATTATTATTTATTTACAACTTTGTAATTTTTCAAATCAAAAGTTTCACAATAAATTACTTTCTTTTGTTTCTTGCAATATTCATATTTTTACTAAATTTCGGTATTTTCTCTACCTGCTTTACAATATAATAAAGTTATAATAATAATAAGTATGTAATGTAAAAAAAAAAACAAAAATTGTTAATTTAAAGACAAAAAATAAAATAATTAACTTGATTTATGTACATAGTATATAATTACTTTCTTCTCTTCATTAATAGGAAAATAAATGATTTCGTATATATATATATATGTATATAAATATATTCTCAGTAACACCAACAACACTGTGGAATTCATTCATATTATTATTTTTTTTTGTGTCATCAACCAACCGAAAAGGGAAATAAAACCAACAAGAAAAGAAATTCAATGAGAATAGAAAATATTAAACGAATAATAATAATAATTCCGGCCCTCGGAATATATAAAAAAAAAGACACGAGATTTTGTCCTCGCTTCATTTACTTTCTCTCCGGAACATTGAAAGAGGAACGTGGAGAAAATCGAATAATAAACGCAATGATAAAAGAAAAGCGAACAAAAGAAAAGCGCAAACATAAAACACAACAAAATCGGAGGGGGCGGAAGAATAATATTAGTGTATGTATATGTATATATAAAAAAAAAAGAGAAAAGGAAAAAAATATAGAACAACGATCTATCGCGTATGCTTAGAGGTGCCTCCTGCCCTTCAACCGGGCGACCAGATTGCATATCTTTAAAGCTGGACCTAGTTTCAAACCCATGTACTTCATCATCATGTCCGAGTTCAGGAGCAGCAGGGCTTTTCCATCAATCTCCTAGAAGATAAAAGAAAAGGAAGTTTGTTATTTAATTGTAATGTTAATGAATATTTATTTATTTACGTGTTTCCTGAAGAGTTCAGCGTGTACGCCTAGACAAGGATCCGTGGATTCGATGAACTGTATGACTTCTTCGATTCCCCACTCGCCCGTAGGGATCTTATTCAGACTGGTCACCGGCGATTCCGACAGAGGCGCTTCCGTCACCGTCGTCGATGTCGCCGCCTCTTGTTCCGGAGGTGGCTTCTTCTTGGCAGGAGGGGCTTTGATGTCGCAGTGGGAGCATTCCGTCAACTGTTTTAAACCTGAAATCGCGGATATTTAATAAGTGACAATGAAATTTATGTATTTATGCTCACTAAATAGATTCTGGCAGCAGCCTAACGTCGTCGAGAATGTTTGGAAAACGTTCTCCAAGTCCATGGGCCTCGTCAGGCTGGGCAGTTTTATTGTGTACGTGCTGCCGTTGTGCGTGATCACAAGCTCCTCCCCCCGAAGACCGCCCAGTCGCGCCAATATCTTCTCCGCTTTATTGGAAACGTTCAGCATCTCGCGAACCAGCTTCTTCGACAGATCCACCAATGAGGTGTCCTCTATAGTGGGCGGTAACATGAAGGAGTCTATCAGGGCACCACCCCTGCAACTCTTGTGGGTGTAGATAACGACGGGCGGTGGGGGCGGAGCCGACGTATCCGCCTCCGGCGATTGGACAACCTCCGCCGTCGACGTGATAACTGGCATGATCGTCGGCATCGCGTTATTTGGCTTCAACTTGAATTTATTAGCACCGCCGTTGTTCTTCTGACCGGGCGGTTGCACAGGATGACCGGACTTCGCGCACCATCCCACCGGAAATATGTCCCTGCTATCGTAACGACACCAATAATCGAAGGCGCCGCGCCACCCATCGAAGGTAACGTGTATTTGCTCGTTCTTGACCGCCCCCACCGTCGCCGTGCAAATCAGCTGCGGGTTCTTCTTATCGACCGCCTCCAGCTTTTGCCCTACCTGAAACAGATTCGCCTTCGGTCCTGCCGGTTCCTTCAAAAAGATCTTCCCCGGAGCCATCTCCGCCCCGTTCAACGTCTTCAGCAGAAACATCGGCCACGAGCTCGCGTTCATGCGGAAACCGAGCGGCGGCTGCAGCATTCCACCAGACTTCTCGCAATGTCCAATTGGATGTATCTCATTGGAATTGACGAGCCGCCAAAAATCGTTTTTGTTGTCACTACCGTCGAGCCTCAGACGCAACCTGGGCCCCAAAACACTTATCACAGTAGCAATGCAAGTGGAGGTAACGTTTCTTGGATCTAAAGCTTCAAGCTTCATGCCAGCCTTGAAATCGTTCTGCGGCGGTTCAGGACTCTGCTTGAAACAGCCGGATGGTGCCTGTGTGCTGTTTGTCTCCTTCAAGTATTCCTCCCAATCGAAAGTTTGAAAAGTCTCATACTGAAAGGGACCTGGTGAGCCTGAATCTGTGTTCGGAGTTGGTGCAACCGCCAAAACTCTGCCGTGCATCTCTGGCCTCTTCTGGTGCTTGTTCATGCAATGCACCGAGCAGTAATCTTTGCTCGGATTCGTGTTACCCTGTATAACGTTATTGCACTGGAGGCAGGCCCCCTTAATATACTTGCTGTATTCGGCCAGGCAGTTCTTTGAGCAGAACTCCTTGTTGCCATACTTGGAGGGATAGACATACTTCAACGAGAGCTTCCCCTCATTGCACCAGGTGCATGATATCGGCTTCTTCGGAGGCCTACCTGGTCTGGCCTTAACAGTCCCATTGTTATTCAGAGTGGACATGATTCTTCCAGTTTCGTCCCTCACTCATACAACGTCTAACATTAATTAATAATTTACGAGGGGAAAAAATGCACTCTCTCACATCACTCCGCACAATCGCGACGACGATTCGCGCTGCACTTGTATCCACCGAAGTCACGGTGCACATATAGTGGAAAATACCGCCCTTTTTACTGTTTTTGTTATGTATTTTAAGCCCTTTCGAAATGTCAACAACGAAAATATGCAAGTTTGCGGCTTGTCTAATGGTCCGGCATACCAAACTCAGAAACGCAAAAGTTACCCTTCGACCGCAGCGCGAAATTCAAACTGAAACGTTACGTCGTCAGAAGTTTCACATTTTCGTTGCATAATCCCATTAATTTCTAACATTAAGATAATAACACATTCCGCCTTACTAATCAGCAAAAAAAAAAACTATTAAAACTTATCACAAACAATGATTCATAGTTACACTAGAAATAACACTTCTGCGTTTCTAAATTTACATTGCTCAGCGTTTCCAAAAACTCAATTAGTAAATCAAATAAACTATTCACATTTCAAGAAAATATATTATTATAATATAAATAGAAGAAAATTAATTATTTTCGAGGAAATCGAGGAAAATCCTTGAGTTTCCACGAGCAACGTCAGCTTGACAATTATGTTTAAATCAATAAGCTATAAACTAGATATGAGGAAAAACTCGTGCGCTTTTAGATTTCCATGGAAACAAAAGAAAATTAAAATAAGAATGCTTATTTGACACGTACTTCCACGAACTTAAGCTAAAACACACAAATATATTAACGTTTTGTAATTATAATTTCAAATTAAAATTATATTTTCAAATTTCTTGAATTTTTATGCGGTTTCTCTATCAATTTCGCTTATTAACCAGAAGAATTTTTATGATTTTATCTTATCTATAGTTAAGTTTTAGTTAACAAGTCATGACGCAATTTGCTTAATTACTTAACTTTTGCGTCGATTGTTCTTGTTAACTGCAGCCAATTAAATTGATATTTAATTTTTTACTCGAAATCGCTTGAAATTTGAAGTTTGATTTATCGTACATTTAAGTTTTATAACAAATTATTTTACAAGAGGGCTGCGATAATAATTAACAATTGAGATGAAACTTGTTTAATTATCGTAATCTGTCATTATGCGGATGAGTGTGTTAATTATTAAATTTGGGGTAAGATTTAATTTAAATTATATTAATTGTGTTTTATTGTTGTTAGTTAATGTAATTGCTGTAAAAAAAATGATGTTAATTGATTGTGTAATGTTAATTGTATTTTTATGTAATCGGTACATAAAAAATGTGTATTAGACAACCACATGTACATGACACACCTGTACGCGTTCAATCAAAGCTACCTGTACACCGTATGCTTCAGTGTGAATTCAACTTTGACTTAACTCAGTTCTTCATTAGGCGTTGCGTGCGTCAGGTGACAAAGATCGAAAAGCAGAAGAAGCACGCAACGAGCGAGTGCACTCGGTGACCTGACCCCCGCATCGACGGCTAAATAAAGACGAAGAAAATTGGGCCTCCCCAATACGAAGAAGAAAGAAATAATAGAAAAGGTAACGAATAAAAAATATAAACATTCTTTATGAGGTGTTTACTTTGTCTGTTTGCAGATGTCAGCTAAAGGGATCGTGTTCGTTGTGCTGACGCTCTGCGCGTCCAGCGTTTTCTCCAGGATGACCTACGATTGCGGAGAGAAGCTATTGGGATGCTTCTGCGGAAACATCTACTTGGATGGGAGCGAGACCAAGTACGTGGTGAACTGCACGAATCAGGGCTTCACCAACGTGGACATGCTCACAGACATCCCGATAGAAACGGAGATGCTCGTTTTCGTTGGAAACAATATCCCGACGCTTCCGTGGAACATCTTCGGTGATATGAACAAATCGGTGAATCTGAAGGAGATCGACATGTCGAATAACAATATTATGGAGATCAAGGGGAAAGCTTATCATCACGTGTCGACGGTGGAAACGCTCATTTTGAACCACAACAATCTGACTATTAGCAATAAGGGCGATGAGAATTATCACCATCCGAGGATGTTCTCCAATTTTGTGAACTTGAAAGCGCTTCATCTGACAAACGCGTTCGCTGATAACACAGGAGACGATTTGGCTGATGATTTGCACGACATCTTCATGAACAGCGGTTTGGATAAGCTGTATAAATTGCATCTGGAGCAGAACGAAATCAAGAGTTTTCGAGATCAGAACGTGTTTTGCGATCTGCCGAATATCAGAGATATTTATCTCGCGGATAATTATATTCCCGGGCTCAATTTCAATATAAGCTGTTTGAAGAAGCTCCGCTTCTTGGATTTGGAGCACAACAACATCACCAAGTTGTCGCAGCGCGAGCTGGAGTCTCTGGATTGGATGGCACCACCGCATGTGGAAGGGACTTTAACGATCGACATACGCAGGAACCCGTTGAAATGCGATCCGGCGACGAAGACGCTCTACGGCTGGATGCAGAGGACGAACGTGACCATCCGCGGTAAGGAGAGCATCCAGTGTCATTCAGCTAAATTCGGCACCAATCACCTCATCAACCTGAAGACTCTCGCCGAAGGGAAGCACGCGACCGTCTCGAAAGGCGTCACCGTCTTGCTGGTCATCCTAGTCCTAGTCCTGATCTCACTCATCTCCGCCTACGTCTACTTGAGCAAGGATAAGCTGAAGAACAAGCTGGGCCCAATTCTGGACAAAGTCACCAGGAAAGTACAATACACGACCATCGAATCTCAGGCCGTCTAACGTCCAATTCAACAGCAGCAACAACAACAAGAAAAAAACGTGTAAATAGAAGATACGGTTTAGTGTATGTACATAATTGGAATAGATTAATATATGCGATGGAATAACCGACGCCGCAGGAATTCCCTCCGCATCAAGGTTGAATCGTCGCCGAAATCGCGTATGGGATTTCTTCGTCCAATGTGATTTTAATGTTTCGGAGAAAACCGGCCTCAGTGCAATATCTCTCTCTCTTATATATACATTCTCCGAAAAAGAACTGACCTCCACTTTCTAATTTTTCGTAATTGCATTCGGGCTTTCAACTGTACACGTCCCGTCCTTCAATTCTTCATTAGTAACTAATTAAACTTGTTTTTATTTTCCTACACATCAAATAGAATTGTCACTTACACAAATGAAAATTGGAAAAAAAAACCAAGTGCGTTCTAAAAGATGACAAAATGAAAAAAAATATATATATCGCGTTGTTAATTTTAATAAATAAACTTTATATAATTATTATTTACTTAATTAACTAATGTTATCTGATATTTATTTATTTTGCGTACGCCTCGAAAGCTACTTCTTTTTTTCTTGTTGTTGGTTTCAGCTGTTTCGTGGTCATGGCAACAACAATCGCTTCTCGACCCTAACGGCTAAGATCAAAGTGTGGTCATGGCAACAAGCGGCGGCAATTAAGATATTAATTATTTCCAAACTACGTTTCACCTTTTTAACAATTGCGACCAATCTTTCCTCTCCGCACGATTTCACAATTCGCGCATTCGTTAACGAAACTGCATTACTTTTAGCATTAATATTTATTTACTTATTAAATTAATTTATGCATAGTTATTATTATTATTATTTTGTTTTTAATGATAATTAAATAAATTAATATTTATTTTTTTTTTAAATTACATATTTTGATGACGTTTTTCTTCTGTTATGAATCTCGCGTTTCTTTTTTCTATTATAATAATTTGTTGCATATTCAGCTTTAAATCTGAAACATGTGTGGAACTGAAGACGTTGCGTTTTATGATCTGCAATTCACCATATGATGACTCACATGTTTAATTATAGAAGCATCAATATGTGCATATCATGTTTACATTTATATTTGTTAATCTTTTCATTGTTCTTCAATCTACTCTGAATTCATAAACAATTTCGTGGCTTCGAATTCATTTAAAATTATCTGAAGATAATTTCACTTTTTTTATGATTAAGGTTCCATGTCTGTCCCCAATTTCACTTAGTTACATAACAATATTACGTATTGCCGTGGAGAGCTTTAAATGATCCGAATCTTTGCTTACATTGTCATGGAGATGATCAAAATATAAAATTTGGGTACAAAGAAGATTAATAACTGAAACATTTGCACAATATTTAATTTAGTTTAAAAAAAAACAAGAAAAGTCTAAATTCTACATTCATAATACATTCGATCACAGATTGCATTCGCATGCATGCATTACGTATTCATCATTTAATTTGCATATGCTTGTATACGAATCTATTTACTAGTTTGCACTTTTTTGTGAATGCAACTAAAAATGAATTAATTAAAGACCTGTAATTGCGGCACGTCTATTTATAAATGTGTACTATTAAAATCACATTATTTGATGCTTATAGTTATTGCTGCTTGTTTTAAATACAATGATTACTAATGAATAAGCGTTTTGTTAAATGTTTCATTAGTAAGCGAGTTGCATTTTGTTTTAACAATTTGATGTATCTGACGTTTCTTTGAAGTCTGGCGACTTTTCATTTATTTAAACAAAGAACTTGATTTCTATGCATTTATAAGACTACTTGATATTTCAAATTGTTTCTCTTACTACTTAATATGTAAAGTGCTGTTAAGTTACAGTCAACAATTGCTTTGAACAAGGTTGTGCAGTGCAAATTTAACATTGTTGTTTCTCTCGAATAACGCATTTTTATCTATGAATATCTGTAAACAGCATGAGCAGATTGCGTCCGAGTGCAAATATTGACTGTATAACTCTGATAAGTCTATCGGCTGGCGGTTAAATAATTTGGCCACGCAAAAGTTTGAACTTTCAAACGAATCTACGCAACGTTATGCAACCAAAGTTTCATCGAGTCTGTAACGGAGAATAATAGAAGGAGTAATTTACAGTAAGAACTTAGTCGGGGCCGTTTTTAAAAACTTGTATGTGTTGACATCAGAGACATGTCCGATACTTGACATTCCGCGCATTCCAATCCAATTGATCAACAAATGTGCCACAACCTGCTCATCTTCCATCTGCTCCACATTTAGAAATCCAATTTGGATTCATCTTTGAGACACACACACACATATTGGAAGATCCAGTGAGCATGGCAGATTCAGTGGAGCACTACATACAATCTGTTCTGGATGGCAGTCCACACAGCAGTGACCTATCAGAGCTCTGCGATTTCACACTGACCGAACACAATGCTGCATTGGAGACTCAAGGTATCAGTCCCAGGGCTGATCCCACCAAGAAACTTGTGATGGGTGATAATATCACATACATTGTTGCTGGGATAATCATCAATGATGAGGGGGAAGTGCTGATGATACAGGAGGCAAAGGAGAGTTGTGCTGGGAAATGGTAAATGCATTGAACAACAAATTATTAAATGTAGTAATTTCGATTGAATTTCAGGTACTTGCCGGCTGGTAGAATGGAGAAAGGTGAAACTATCTGTGCTGCCACAGAGAGGGAAGTTCTTGAGGAGACTGGATACCAGATCAAGTGCAAATCTCTGATAATGATTGAGTGTGCCAAGGGGACTTGGTTCAGGTTCGTCTCTGTTGGGGTTGTTGTTGGTGGATCACTGAAGACCCCAGCACAAGCTGATTCAGAATCCATCCAAGCCAAGTGGACTCTGGATTTGGCTGAGCTCACTTTGAGATCCAACGATATAGTGCCCTTAATCATGAGAGCCAAGTGAGTATAATTACTACAAACTGTTTCAATTATTATAGTACAAATTTATTATGTAATTAATACAAATTTGATAAATTCAACAAAGACAAACTTTCTGTTTGTCATTAATATATAAATTTAACATTAATCACTAATTTATTAATTATATAGTTTCAGTTTTGCGAGTGTCAAAAAAATATTGGCTACATTTTTTATGTAAATGTACGAAATCAATACGCTTCGATCAAACTATTAATTCAAAACAACTTGTTTCTCACTTAAAGTGTTAAAACTAACTGACTGCAGTTCGCAAATCTGCAAACTCACACTTACGATAATTACGAAAAAAAAAAATGTATATATATTACCCGTACAGGTAATTCGAATATATTCAGGGTTTCCTGTTGTTTCCTCTGGTGCAGTTCTTGCATTCCAGTGGGGAATTTCTGAATGTATACAATATTTATTGTTAGAAGTAAACTCTGGTATTTTGTGTTGACTTACGTAATGAGGGCTAATTTTGCGTCCTCCAATTCGATGTCGGAGAAGTTCGTGAGCGTCTTCAGCTGGTCGTTCCAGCTGCTGAGGCCGACGGATTTCCGTGCCAAAGAGATGATGGCGGACGCGAGCATCGAGGGCTTGTAGAACTGCATGTAGTGGATGTCTAGGAGGGAAGAGTTTTAAAGGTTGTCTTGGAGTGGACAGTTTTGCTGTTTACCATCGATTACTTTATCCAGATACGTCCGGATGATGATCTGCATGTCGAAGGTGGTGGAACGAGGGCTGCAGCAGAAGTCCTCCTTGGAGATGGCGGCCGGAAGGAAGTAGTGGGTGTAATGGGCCGTCGTCGGGAACATGATGTACCAATGGAAGTACTTGAGGACGAGGATTTCCAGCGCTTTGTACTCGTGCACAGGGTACGGTGATTTGATAGCTGCGTTAAGCTCCTGTATTTTCGGAATGGTCACGTTGTTCTCCTCCAATTTGGCTGCAAATTTCAAAAATAAATAAAATAAACATAAAAGTTAAAATCACAAGACTTACCGGAGATCAGCAAGCAGACGTTCGCTACCAGAGGCATCCTTTCGGCGCTGATGTTGTGATTGTCCATGAATATGTCCAGAAGATAAATGGCCAAATGCAGAGTGCAGTGCGTCAGCTGCTTCTTAATAGAGAACTTCTTCAGGTAGTCCACGGTGGTCCCTCTGCAATAGTGCTTCAACCAAAACAACAATCAAATCATCATCAACACCCCATCACAATCTCTCAACAAACCTGCGGAGATCTGTGCAAGAAAGGAATCCTGTTCGACTCTCGCTCCCGGATCACCTCGTTGTACTCCTTCCTGTACAGCTTGATGTCGTCCCATGTCTCCTTGCTGATGTAGAGCTGCAACACAAGAGAGAATTCGCATTGCTTCGAAATCGCAACCTTCGCTCGCAACGGATTTTTACATTGAACACGGAATCTTCGCTCAGAAGATTCGTCCGCATTTTCTTCTCGCAATCATCCAAACCCATTTACTTACCACGCTTCACTGAAGCGCACCTTGCAGATAGCGACACAGTTTTTGCCCGAAACGCAAAATCTTTTGAATCATCCGAATTTGTGTGTGCATATCTCTGTGTTTTTTTTTTGTTCCTTATTATTGTTGATCGTTTACTCGGAAATTTTTAGAAATACTTTTTGCAGGGGAATGGCGCAAGCTAGAAGATCATCGGACCAAACCTGGCATTCCGACATCCTTCCGATGAACACGGCCTATCCGAAACTTCTCCTGAGACTTCTGGTTGTCATCAGGAAGAAGTCTAATAACAAAGTCTTTGTTTTGCTCAGCGAGAAGACAGCGCTGCATCTTCCCACCTGCGAGATTCATCCGTCAAAATCCGTGTACTCCACCTTGAAGAGGTTCATGGTGGAGATTTTCGGCGCCGACGTCTCCGTCCACAGACCGCACGGAATACTCTCCGTAAACATTGCAAACGTACGCATTTATTCCTAATAATCATGAATGCGATTTTCAGATGGAAATGGACGCAACGAACGAACCGCACGGCGCCTGCCTGACGATGCTCGTCGTCTTCAAGGGCTCTCTTGAAGAGGTGCCCATCATCGGCAAATACGTCTGGCACGAAGTCTCCAAGACGTTATCCAACGCTCTGGCGATGAGAGTCGCAGGAAAGAACTCCACGATTCACCTGAACGTCATCAATTGAATCCATCCAAATTACTCTCTCTACAATTAATTAATTTAAAAAAAATATATAGAAGAACAAAATACTCAAGGTATACAAGAAACCTGACGAAAATTCTCTATTATTTTTTTAAAATTTCCAAATGGGATTTGTATCTGCGTCCTTTTTTCAACTGTTATTTATTTCTATTATCGTCCTTCTTTTTACATACATACGCATTAATCGAATCAGTATTTCTTTATTGGTTTTGGATTTTTTTTAAAATATTTTATCGTTTGTTATTTTATATATATATATATACGTTGTACTAATTTTATACGAAAATATAAGCACATTTTTATATATTCTTCATCATCTTCAATACATAAACCATACTTAAGATCAAAGACTCAGTATTATAAGGAAAACACAACTATTGGTAAGTGAAAAATATGTTAAATTTATGACTGATAATAATTATAATAAGATCAATGCAAGTTTGTGTATGCAACTTTGCAAACGCTGATGCAAATTGAGTTGTATACAGCTAATCATAAATATAAATTATTTCCTTAATGAATTCCCTTAAACTTATAAAATAAATTAATTGTTCTTATTATGTTTTCTTCGTTTGGCTGGTGGTCCTTTCGGAGATTTACCATCTGAACCTTGCTGCCTCTTCTCTTTGGGAACCTGCACTCCATGCCTGACAAATCTCTCGGCCACCTCAACATTAACTGTCTTCCTCAGTGTGTGTCTTTCCACAGCCTACAATAATTTAATAATTAATAAACTGAAATTAAATTTAAAAAAAAATCAAACTTACAGTCTGTGCTTTGACCATATATTCTCGAACCCTCTGTATCTCCTTCTTCACTTCATTCTCGTTGGGATCTAAACCTCTTACCCTCAGATACAACCAGTACAGGGTGTTCAAGGTGTAAGCGATGAACAGATCATATTCCATTTGATCCTTCATGCTTAAACCTTCTGCGATTTTGCTGTTGTATGCAACATCCAGGATGTGCTCTATGTCGTTCACGCTCTTGTGCAGGTTCAACAGCTTCGTCTGTATCTCTTTGTCATCCTTCAGATCACCGAAATCCATGATTGTCGTTCACTCTGTATATTAATAAAACAAAAGATACGAACACTTTCAAACCACTCAGCTGGTTTCCAATTAACGTGTGATGTTGAGGTTATGTTTTTACTAATACACCGAAAGTATTAAACAAACGCAACCGCCACCTATGTTCGGGATATGAACTGAAATTTGAATTTAATAATTAATTACGTAATTTGAAATTAAAATATAATAGTTTCTTTAAGTACTAGATCATAATTAAAACGATTTGAGTAATTTAACAAACTAGTTAATTTCGTTGGAATACATACAAATTTATAATTACATTGTAAAATAATGAACTATTTTGTTAGGTAATGTTAAGATATTAAATAAACTACTGTCGCGTCACCTATATTTGGAGTTGGAAGTAAATTGACATTTAAATTTCAAAATACGAACAGTTTTTAAATATTTCATTCGAAAAATGTCTGTAATTAAAAGCAGGATGATTGTTTAGTAATAATAGATTATTTCAATGAAAGAAACGTTAATGACAATTAGAGTTTATACTGTATTAAACGATAATACACACTGCATCAAGTTTGTGTTACATATTTAATAGTTTGTAATAGGTTTTTTCAAGTCGATTAGGTAAAAAAAAACACTATGTTTTCTTTTTCGTTTGAAAGCATGTTTCTGAAATTGAAAGGGAATGCAACTTCTTCAATTACACAC